ATTATATAAGTACATTATATTAAAACATATAATTAAAAATAAATTAAAGAATTTATGAGGTTAATGCATGACAATAATATTGATGATGTTTGTAAGAATTGAGAGGATTTATTAATATTCATGCACCCAATTTTATTTTTTATTTTTTCCTAATTATTTATTGTTTTCATATCTCAATTGTGATGACTCACATTGGTGTTGGTGCAAAAATATATTAGGAGAATTTGTGATTAAATTAAATAAAAAAAAAAACAAATAAATAAATAAAAAGAATTTTTTGCATGTTTGCAGCAGCTGCCTTTACGTCGGGAATCACGGGGTTTTGTTCTTAAGCTGAAATCGGGACCTACGCCCTTTTTGCTCCCATCGGTAACCTACTTTTACAAGTCCAAATTAATAATAATATCATTTCATTTTTATTTTATTTATTTATTTATCTAATTGGAATTATATATGCCATTTTAATTATGTTAATTTTTTTTGTTAGTGGAATATATATATTTGAAAAAGTGATATTTTTGTTAGTAAAGCTTATAAAAAAAACGTAATACTCATATAAATGACTATTTTGATCATATACAATTATAAAAACTAAAAACAACTATCGAAAAAAAAAGGCAATATTTCAATTTTCGTCTTGTTGCTTTGATCTATTGGTGCTTTTAGTCTTAAGAATTGAACATTTTTGTTATTTGGTCCTATGATTTTAAAATTCGACGTAATTTCAGTCCTTTAGAACCGAAATTGCAACAAAATTTAAAATTACAGGACTTTCAGTTGCTAATAAAAAATCTTTTGGATGTATTTTTTATTAGCAATTTTGGTCCTGTAATTTTAAATTTTGTTGCAATTTCTGTCTCAAAGGACTTCAATTGCTAATAAAAAATCTTTTGGATTTATTTTTTATTAGTAATTTCAGTCTTGTAATTTTAAAATTTGTTGCAATTTCAGTCCCAAATGACTGAAATTGCAGCAAAATACTAAATTACAAGCTCAAAAGACAAAAAGTTGAAATCTTGGAACTAAAAACACAATAACGTTAAACCAACACGACTAAAAATATAATTTCACCAA